ATAAAATTTCACTTAGTAGCGCCAAATTACCCGTCTACCTTATAAGTGTGATCTAAAAAGGATGGACAGAAATATACGTATATAGTGGTCTGAGATCTGAGGTGTAACTTTTGTACCTGGGGTACACCGTAGGTATAGTTCCATTCTCAGCACAGCCCTACTTTATTATTAACAGCTCGCAGTACAAAATAACTATATTAATATATGCTATATTAATATTTATGTAATAGTAATACATAACTAATTAATTTTTCACCGAGTTGATCACATGTACCGCAAGAACTATGTTATGATATATTTAACAGTCTTACTTTGCCATCTTTGTCGTCTTTGCGGGAGTTCGTAATTTATTTAGCTCTATAGTTTGGGAAAACTCCCCAGCCCCAATTATCTTATCTTTGAAGATTTTAGACATCTTAGAAAGTATGTTTGTCATCCGCCCTACACGTTCTACGAGATTCTATTAAATCGCGCACCACACTCCTTTGCAAGGGGTTGAGGGCTAACGATTTCTGATAGTAATAATGCCTCTAAGAAAGATTCTGCTGATTTACTGATATTTTTCTTCTCTTCTTTCTTGTCATGCTCATCAAACGATTGACCTCATCAGTCGAGAGGAAATCCTTAGCACGAGGGAGGTTTGGACTCGGAGATGCGTTATCCTCACGGAAATCTAGAACACCCCACCAGAGTGGGCTACAACAAAGAAAAAGTGAGAACATAGCACAACGAATAGATAGGCAATAGTAGAAATAACTTACTCTGTGTGGGCAGATTCATTATCTTCTTGTACAGACTTGACGGCATTAACGGCAGTAGTGCATTCGTCGAACGTAGAATTTGGTTTGGCCTGTGACATATTAAAACAAATGATTTAACAAAAACATAATAATAATATCAGTATGACTTTAAGTTATCAGATAAAAAGTTCTTGCATCTTTTGAATCATCTATTACGTTGCTAATGTATCCTAACTATTTTACAAACAAATAAGTTCTCTATGTATATAAACAACCGCAAAACAAGATCTACAAACCGATTCTTTCTCGATCTTGTCTTCGTGGCTTTTTTTCTTGATCTCGTTCCAGAAATTGATGAACGTTAGTATAAGATTAAATAACATTTTTAGAAACTACCATATAACCCAAAAAACGATTGATGGTTGACCATAACACGGGACGTAGGCTGACAACCAGTTGGGACGTATGCATCTGGTTGCGTTATGGCAGTTACATATACAGTCAAAGCTTTGACTGTAGTAAGTAGTCTATTCAAGAACGCCCGAGGGAAGGACGTAACTTCACTATCGACTAACCAGGGCGTGGGTAGTTAGCTACTCGGGGTTTGTCAATACGTCAGACCGGAGCGTATTCTAGTCCTTGAACCAACCACCAATCTTAATTAGAAATAACATATACTTACTTCAAACTTGTTGAGCGTAACTATGATCTTTAGATAACACGTCCAAAGCTTTCTTTTATCGTACGTAAAATCTTCAGCTCCATTTCTATACTGTAGGGACTATAGGGACCAAGTCAGATTATTCTTGAAGAACCTTTTGTATTTGTGACATTTCTTCGCTCTAAAGTACCTGTATTGCC